AGCGGTAAAAGAGGAAGTGAAGAAGAAGAAGAAGAAAAAGAATCACCCCTTAGTGGGTGATGTTATCATCACACTGGCTGCCTTTACATCCCAGGACTGCATCTGATACCCACTCAAGGCTGGGTCGACCTGGTAGCCAAGGTCATTTTTTAAAAATGTCAGGACTTCAACCAATGAATTTTCCATCTGCAGACAATTGTCAAGCCGCTATACCACGGTGGCCCCATCATATGTATAACTACATTTTGATAATATACGAGGCTGCTTCAAAAAGTTCCTGGAATAGTTGATTCGTTTTCAATAGGTAATTATGACATGAAGATTATAGTTTTATAAGTAGATAATCCTGGATGAAACCACATCGCAGACATGACTTTCTCATTTATTCTCAAACAGAAGTTACAGAAGTAAGTTTGAGTATGTGCACGTAGCATCATCAGAGTTGAAAATGTCCTTGTTTGACACAGATGTCAGATTGAATGTTTTGCTTGAGATGTCACCAGCAGAGACAGTTGGTTTGTTTAATAAAGCATATTTTTGAGAATTCTCTACAGGCAGATGTTGTCTTTTATACAGATGGGTCTGTGATTCACTATTTGAGAAGCTCTTAGGCTTTTATGGTTCAGGTTGGACTTAGAAGTTTGAAGCAAGATTCTGGTGCTGTTGCCTTGACCACAAGTAGTCTGACTATGGAGGTCATCGCAGTGACCAAAGCAGTAACATCGCTGGAGACACAGACCTTTTCCTGCGCTTTCTCAGTGACTCAGTGAGTCTGCTCAGGAAGATAGAGGTGGGCTGTATCCGAAGACAGTAGTTGGAGTTTCTAAAGCAGTTGGGGCTGAAACATATCAGTTTTATAATTGTGCCAGGACATGCAGGCGAGCAAGGAAATGAGCAAGTTAATAGGCTTTGCAGGTAAAGCTACCGTGGAGGGCGGAGGTGATGGACTAGGCAAATATTATGAATGCTCTGTAAGAAGTAAGATATTTGCAAGAACCAAGTGATGACTTGTCAATCTGCAACCATGTCCAGACAGCAAGAACAACATTTTAAAAGAGGTGTGGCCAAACAAGTGCACTAGGCAGGTAGCCAAAGAAGAATGAGAAATCAACACAGAACCAGTGTCGTGTGAGCCACTGCACTTTGCAGGATTTACTTATGAAGGGATCTGAGCACTTATGGACTAAATAGTCTAATGTGAGTAACTAACTAAAACAAGGTCCGACAATTAAGTAATGAGTCTGATTTTGTTATGGCCAAGACAAAAAGGCAATCTACAAAGCAAAGCATCTATGAGCTGGCAACTTTTCATTGCCGTTCGATAAGCAGACAACAAACAAGCTGCCATTTTGTTGACCTAGTCAGAGGTGCAGTGTCACATAATTAGCATGGAGCAAAAAGCTAACAATAAATTCTTTTTAAAACACAGAAAAAGCAGCATTGAAACAGTTAAATTGATGCAACAAGTTTATAATTGTTTATCTTGTGCACAAATTTTCAGGTGGTGTTCACGATACAAAATTGGTGTGGAAATGATTAATAATGCACCTAGACCTGGACGCCAAATTTCTGTTCATAGTTTTGAACTGATTGCAAAAGTCAGAAAACAAATGCAAGAAAATCATGGTTTTACTGTGAGGATGATGGCAGATGAATCTGGTGTTAATAGAGATTCATAACATTTTAGTGCATGATTTTGGCAAGAAAAAAGTTGCTTGCCGGTTTGAACCACATTCGTTGTCTGATGACCAAAAACATCAGCGCGTTGAATACCCAAGAGACATCATCAAAACAAGAATTTTTGGCCTCAAAACGAGTGTGTGTTTTCAGCCTTTCACTCTATCCCCCATATTTGTCTCCCTGTGATTTTTCTCTATTCCCAAATTTAAAGTTACGATTAAAAGGACGCTTTTTTATCGATACTGATGACATCCGAAGGGCCATAACATTGACTTTAAGGGCCATAACAACAGAAGAACTACAGAGGTCGTTCCAGTGTTTGTTAGATCAGGCCACTTGCTGTATCAATTCACAAGCTGCTCACTTTGAATCAGATACAGGTTATATCTTTAGCTGTTGATTATTTTAGTTTTTATGGAACTAGTCTCATTTCTTAATTGTCGGACCTAATAAAGCATATAGTAATACTGCAATGAAAAATTCCCTTTCCTTAATGTAAATTATACTTTCCTGATGTAATATTCTGTGTATATTGTTACTTGGGGGGGACAAACCATCACTAACCATATTGTTTTATGATAAAAATCCAAAGCTATCTTCAAGTTCTGTTCATCTTTCAGTCGCTTCTGTTTTTGTTTACAAACAAATCTCTGCCATCGCTGGACACCTCTTACAGCCAGAATGTGTTGGTAACATCTGAACACAGAAAATAAACCAAATTTGACAATGCATAGCCAACCTGGTAGTACAATGAGACTAGATAATCAGACACTAATAAATATTGCTTAATTAAACATTACATTCATCTGCCTTTCTAGCCCCCACAGCAGCAAAGGCCCTCACCCAACTCATGCAGAGGGGTTCTATCCTTTGCTATTGCATGTAGCTCTCCCCATCTTTTTAACTTCACTCTCTAGCTCCCTTCTCCATGTGTTTTTGTGTCTTCCTTCATACCTAAGACTAGACAGTACAACATTTGGGCTAGATAAGACGAGACAGTACAACATTTGGGCTAGATAAGACTAGACAGTACAACATTTGGGCTAGATAAGATGAGCCAGTACAATATTTAGGCTAGCTAAGAATAGACAATACAATATTTAGACTAGAAAAGACTAGACAGTACAATATTTAGGCTAGATAAGACTAGACAGTACAATATTTAGGCTAGGTAAGACTAGACAGTACATTGTTTAAACTAGATGAGACTAAAAAGTACAATATTTAGTCTAGATAAGACTAAAGATAAACTACTTAGGCTAGATTAGACTAAAAAGTACAATGTTTAGGCTAGATGAGAATAAAAAACACAGTATTTAGGCTAGATGAGACTAAAGAGCACAATGTATAGGCTAGATAAGACTAAAGAGCATAATATTAAGGCTAGATGAGACTAAAGATAAACTATTTAGACTAGATGACACTAAAGAGTACAATATTTAGGCTAGATAAGACTAAAGAGCATAATATTAAGGCTAGATGAGACTAAAGATAAACTATTTAGGCTAGATGACACTAAAGAGTACAATATTTAGGCTAGATGAGACTATAGAGCATAATATTAAGGCTAGACGAGACTAAAGATAAACTATTTAGGCTAGATGAGACTGAAGAGTACAATATTTAACCTAGATGAGACTAAAGAGTACAGTATTAAGGCTAGATGAGACTAAAGAGTACAATTTTTAGGCTAGATGAGACTAAAGAGTACAGTAGTTAGGCTATATGAGACTAAAGAGTACAGTATTAAGGCTAGATGAGACTAAAGAGTACAGTATTAAGGCTAGATGAGACTAAAGAGTACAATATTAAGGCTAGATGAGACTAAAGAGTACAATATTAAGGCTAGATGAGACTAAAGAGTACAATATTTAGGCTAGATGAGACTAAAGAGTACAGTATTAAGGCTAGATGAGACTAAAGAGTACAATATTAAGGCTAGATGAGACTAAAGAGTACAATATTTAGGCTAGATGAGACTAAAGAGTACAGTTTTAAGGCTAGATGAGACTAAAGTGAACAATATTTAGGCTAGATGAGACCAAAGAGGACATTGTTTAGGCTAGATGAAACTAAAGAGTACAGTTTTAAGATCAAATGGAATTAGACAGTGCAACTTGTGTGTGTTTGCATGACCTCAACCTACCTGAAAGCTTTGGTCTTATGGAATCTCCACTTCCAAGCTTGAAGCAGTGTCCTCATGTGTGCCTGAGTTTTGTCTCTGGCAACTCTGTCTGCCATCTCTTGTAGTCCTACACAGTAGTCATACTTCTGGTGTATGTTCCTGAAAATGTTGTGTTTGATGCGTGACTCAGTGCGTCTGGCAAATGTTTCTTGAAGTCTACGCATGTAACACATCCTTTCTGTGTGCTGCTTCCAGCATCTTAGCATTCTGTAAACAGTTATTGTGGTGGTGGTGGGGGGGGGGGGGGGGGGGAAGGTGGGGGGGGGGAGGGGGGAGAAGGGGGGGGGGGGAGAAGGGGTGGGGGTGTGAGGTTATAGCAATGGCTACACGTGATATAATTACTACAGGTGAGATAATGACAACATGTAAGATAACAATGAATGCAGGTAAGATAACAATAACTAAAGGTGAGATAACAGTGGCTACAGGTGAGATAAAATGACCATGTGAGATAACAATGGCTACATGTGAGATAAAGAGCACCTCATGTGAAATAAAGAGCACCTCATGTGAGATAAAGAGCACCTCATGTGAGATAAAGAGCACCTCATGTGAGATAAAGAGCACCTCATGTGAGATAACAATGGCTACATGTGAGATAAAGAGCACCTCATGTGAGATAACAATGGCTACATGTGAGATAAAGAGCACCTCATGTGAGATAACAATGGCTACATGTGAGATAAAGAGCACCTCATGTGAGATAACAATGGCTACATGTGAGATAAAGAGCACCTCATGTGAGATAACAATGGCTACATGTGAGACAATGATCATGAGGTAGATAATGACTACAGGTGAGAGAACAATTGCTACATCAGTGACATATGACTTTGCTAGATGACTATGAGTGCATGTGAGATAAGACCTAAGGTGATCATAAACTACAATGTAGGTAAGACTGCATGTGAGATCATTTGGAATGCAAATGGAATCTTAAAAACTACAGACACAAACACAGGTGAGATAATCATGACTACAATACTGACTACAGATGAGACAAAACTGCAGCATAAGTAAGTGAAGACACACAAAAGCCATTGTCCTGAATCATCAAATATTCAAAACAGTATTAATTAGGATACAAAAAAGTAATGATGTTAACATGTAGAAGGTTCAGAGGGGAAAATGTGACTCACTGTGCCAGTAAATGATGATGGTAAATGTTTCTGATTCTCACTACAGCCTGGTATTCTACCAGCCATATGTTGAAGCTTGCCATCTGTGACCTCCGCTCCAGTTTCTGTCTGAAACTGTTTTCTAGTGGACCCAGTTCCACTTCCTTGGCCGTACATGATGTCCATAAATGGAGGACTTGTTTTTGTTTTACACGGGCTTGAGTCTAGACAACATACAAAAGTATACAGTGCAATATTTTATGGAAGAAAAAACGAATTTTGAAATTTAGAGAAGATTTGCACTCATTACTGTGTGTTTCAGTAGGCAGTCTCTGAATCACTAATGTAGAGCTTTGGGAGAGAACTTAAGTTTCAGTTGACTAAGAGGTGAAGAAAAGATGCTGCTGTTGTATAGGTGAGAAAACAGGAGAAGAATATAACTAAAATGTCTTTGCAGTGGAACCCACAGGGGTAAAGGTATAAAGGAAGACACAAAAACACATGGAGAAGGGAGCTAGAGAGTGATGTTAAAAAGATGGGGAGAGCTACATGCAATAGCAAAGGATAGAACCACTCTGCATGAGTTGGGTGAGGGCTTTAGCTCCTTTGGGGGCTAGCAAGGCAGATGAATGTAACTGTTTCATTAGGCAGTATTTATTAGTGTGTTTTCCCATGATCTGTTCACAACCTTTGTTATCCTCTCCCACCATGACATTCAGATCTGCTATCAGAACTCAAAGCAGAATGTTTATATTGACATTCCCCTGACTAGCTGTTTCATAGACCTTTATAGACCATGTACCTTTACCTTTGGAGTTTCATAGACGTTCATAGACTATGTACTTTTGGAGTTTCATAGGCCTTCATAGACTATGTACTTTTGGAGTTTCATAGGCCTTCATAGACCATGTACCTTTGGAGTTTCATAGACCATGTGCCTTTGGAGTTTCATAAACCTTCATAAACTATGTACTTTTGGAGTTTCATAGACTATGTACTTTTGGAGTTTCATAGACCTTCATAGACCATGTACCTTTGGAGTTTCATAGACCATGTACCTTTGGAGTTTCATAGACCTTTATAGACCATGAACCTTTGGAGTTTTATAGACCTTCATAGACCATGTAACTTTGGAGTTTCATAGACCTTCATAGACAATGTAACTTTGGAGTTTCATAGACAATTCACCACTCATTTCTTTATCCCTGTCATTTGTTAGAGCACAACACTGGTTTACATCCATGTCTAGTACTGCTATTATTATGAAACTCACTGCTACCTCCCCCTCCCCCCAACCTCTCCCATCTGTCACTGTATACATGCTGATGTGTGTGTGTGTGTGGTGATATCATCATCCTTTGTTACCCCTGTAAGCGTAGGTTGTCATGTTTCACCATCTCACATGATCACCAGAATCAAGAATCAGTTCAATGTTTTGTTCTCATCCCAATCATCTGGCCAGGCCGTACTGGTATTTATCTCTCTGCCTTCCTCTTTTTCTTTTTGCATCAATCTCGCCAGTTGTTACCAAGTTCCCAAGTTCATTCCTTCTATTAACATCTCCAAAACACATTGACTGACATGATATTCTTTGAATTCTAAAAAACCACATCTGTTTCAGATTTTTATAACAACATGGGTTCTACATAGCACTAGAACATTCTTGTTCTCACTGCAGTTGGCATCTTCTTATTGGTGATATTCTTTTGCAACTTGCTAAAGGCAACTATTGCCATGGCAATTCTTGTTCTTCTTTCTGCAAGTCATCTTGCATCAAATGATTTGACAGTTTCAAGGCATTGTATCGATTGACTAGCTTAAGACTTTTATGTTTTGCATGTATTTCACACTTTGTTTTTTTTTCTACGGAATGTCTACAGAAACACCTAAATTAATTAGTAACAAAGGGGAGGAATATAATATGAAAAAGAACACTATGAAGACAGAGACAATGGTGAAAGGATGACAGAAAGACAATTTAGAAATAAAATTAAAAAACAAGACCTTAAGACAAACAGAAGAATTTCAGTATTTGGGAGCAATTTTCACATCCGACGAAAAACTAGACAGAGAAATTAGCTTGAAATGTGCCAAAACTAATTAAGTAATGGGGCAACTATCTCCCCTGTTGAAAAAGACAAGCAGATACCCCGGAGTACTAAAGTGAATCTTATCAAAACTTTTTGTGTGTGTGTGTGACAACACTATGCTATTAGTGCCCAACGTGGACACTTGAATCCTCCATTAAACAATAAATTGTGACAACAGAGATGAAATGCCTTAGAAGAGCTGCAGGAGTTTCAAGGAAAGACAGAATACGAAATCAGACGAATGCTAGTAATAAAGCCAGTCTTACAAGTCATCAAATAAAAATAAATGAAGTGGTTTGGACACCTAACAGGAATGCCACGATACCATCTGCAACAGTGAGCCACACTAAAATGTTACAACAGGTATAGAGCGAGTGGAAGACGTAGGAAAAGATGGAGTGATGACCTTACAGAGATGAACATCAATCCTAATAGTGCTCTTGACAGAGCTCATCAACGAATGTTACATCTCCCCCCGACACTTCGCTGAGGCACAAGGTGGAAAAGAAGAAGAAGAAGAAGTTATTTCTTTCTTCTTGGTGATGACCAAAATTTCTGTTTTCTTACAATTTAATTCCAAGCCTAGTTCCTCACTGTGGACTTTTACTGTATCCACTACATGCTGCAGATTGTCTGCAATGTCTGTAGTTAACACCGTATCATCTGCATATCTTATATTGTTGATGTTACATCCAACCACACTAATTTCCTTCATATCTTTCAAGATCTGGAGACATTACACATCGCTGTCACACACCTCTCTTGATTGGCTGGTACAGACTTACTTCACTGTCTATTTTTATAGCAGCATATTGTTTCCAGCATATGATCTTAATCAGTGTAAGATCTTTTCCATGAGTTTGCAGATTTGTAAGCATTTTTATTATGTCAACATGTCTTACCCTTTCAAAAGCCTTTATGTAATCAACAAAGCAGAGATGAAGATCTTTATTTACTTCTATCATACGTGAACTCAGGAGATACATACAGCATTTGTTGTACTTTTGCCGACTGCAACCCACATTTTAACTAGTTTAACAGATTCTACTTTTGGTTCAATATTCCGCATCTACTGATTTTAGTATCTGCCTTGCCCCCACTGTTTCCTATATTCACTATCTTGTAGATATGCTTCAGTTGTGTCTGCTGATCCCCAGAACACATAGGCCAGTAGAGAAAAAACAATATGGAAAGTGATTAGAAACCATAATATAAAGAATATTAAAGCGTAATGGATCTTGAAACTATAAATAAACATAAATTATACTTAAAACAGATTATAAACAAAACATGTGTCATGCACCTCACATAAATTATGCACAAAATAAACATAAATTTCAAACAAAGGGTGAGGATCTCTTTGATGGGAGAAAAATGGCAATTGAATTTTTAAAAAAAAGGACATTTCAGTTACACAAACTCTGGAGGCAAACCAAAAGAACATTTGGTCTACTGGCAAATCCGGACGAAGAATAAAAACACTGGACGACTGAAGTCATAATTCTATTCCCGTCGCCGCACTCCAAACAGTGATCGGAAAACAAACCAAACAAACGACACACTTACCTATCATCCTGCTTGCGTGAAGGCTGCGCCGCTTTGCGTGAGGCATCGTGGCATCATCATATGGTTTGCGTGCAGTTTTGCGTACGGTTGCCTGAGGCATTGTGAATTTGTGTAGTCATCATCATGAAGTTGTAGAGACTTTGAGAGAAGTTAGGGTAGGGTTCTGTTTAGGGGTATGTTAAGGGTTCACTGACAAACTAGGGGTATGCTTCATTAATATACTTTAGGGTTGTGTAAATTAGGGTTAAATTTGAACATTTTACGTTATATTCGTAATACTTTTTGTTCAATATGATGTTTGTTGGAGTGGCGCCACTGAAACTCTGCATAAATATGACGCCAATAGCTTTATAATGTTTTGGATTTTTCGAATGTTGTGTGTGACCAGCATACCAGAGGTCCTCGATTTTGTTTGTGTGTGTGTATGGGACTGTGCGCGATTATAGGGAACTTAACTAGAAATTGTCAAATCTTGTTATCCTAACCCTTTTCGCTAACCCTGTTTAGTCCTACTCCCTAGACCGCCTACCCCTACCCCTTTTTTACGCAAATGAACTGATCATTAAACAGTGCTGGCAAACCTAGGCAATGTAGGAGAAACATTTCCCAATCCAAAAAATACACCCAGAATGAGATGCAGCGTCTGCTAGATATGACAGATCACATAAACAACCAACATGTCAGCCCTGATTAAATATGAATCTTCTTGTTTCGTTGTGGCTTTTACGATCACTGTCAACAGTTGATGATACGGGAGAAAACTCTGACTAATTTAATAGGTTCTATTTATTCTTTTATCACTTCAAAAATAAAACACAATTTCATGTATAAAAACAGTTAACACAACATTTGAAATTGAATAATAGAATTGTGCTGGCAAGTCAAGTGATTAGGTCTCTAAAATTTCACAACTTCCAGTTTATTAGCTGAGAAACCTAACTTGGGAATGCTTTCTGAGACCCAGCTTTACTGTTATGCTGGCTGGCCATGCTACTGTACTGTTTAGGTCTTTATTTGTATTTTGTGTCCTATAAGTGTGCTTAGAAACTATTGAGACAAGATAGCACTCTGTAGATATTTCATATATCAAGACAAACTAGTGAATGCTTCATTAATATACTTTATTGTGTAAATCAAATAAATTTGAACTATTACTTATATTAGTAATCTTTTTGTTCCCCAATTTGCACAAGGTTTTTAATGTGGTCAGCATTATGCCGGCCGTCCTTTGTAAAGTACCTCCATTGGACAGCCATCCTGGTACCCATTTATATTTTGTACTTTAGGGCGAATCCCATTCCATGACAAATCCACGCTTCACATAGTGGGTTAACTAGATATGGTCTTTATTGTTTTCTTCTTTTTTCTTCAAGCTGTTTAGTATTTATTAGACCGCCTACTTGTTCCTTTTTTATCTTATGAACTGCTTGTTCCACAGTGCTGGCATTTACCTAGGCAATGTAGGAGAAACATTTCCCAATAAAATATATCAGATTTATGAGATGCCTGTCTGCTAGATATGACAGTCACATAAACTGGTTAACATGTCAGATCTGATTAAATATGAAATCTTCAGTTATTTCTTTAAAATACATTTTAGTCCACAGTTGATGATATGGAATCTAAAACTGCAGAAAATTTAATAGTTCTATACAAAAATTATCACTTCAAAAATAAAACACAATATCTGTAACAAACAGTTAGACAGAACCTATTTGATCTAACATCCTTGTTAAGCAGATCACATAGCTGGCTAACATCAAGTGATTAGGTCTCTAAAATTTCACAACTTCCAGTTTATTAGCTGAGAAACTGATCTAACTGGCTTGTTATCACACAATCACATAGCTGATCTAACATGGCCATGTTACTGTACTGTTTAGGTCTGATCTAACATTTGTGTCCTATAAGTGTGCTTCCAAACTATTCCACAAGATGCACTAAGATATTTCACATAAAATAAAAGCAGAGATCCTTTTTACTTGTTATAGCACATCAGGCAGATGGAAGAGCATCTAATATCCTTTTAAAGACCAATCCGCATAGGTGGGTAATCCTTGTTATAGCATTATCACATAACCGATCTTAACCTCCCCAGGACAGCACATCTGGTAACTGATTTACATCCTTGTTATAGCACATCACATAACAAATCCCATTCCATCTAACATCCTTGTCATTGCACAGTCACATAACTGATCTAACATCCTTGTTATAGCCGACTCGCAACATAGAAGATCTAATTTCCAAGATATAGCACATCATATAACTGATTTCATACATCCTTGTTATAGCACATGTTGAAAACTGATCTAACATCCTTGTAATTGCACATTCACATAGTTGATCTAACATCCTTTTTTATAGCATGTAACATAGCTGATCTAACATCAATGTTTAGCTATAGCATAACTGATCTAGTTGTTCCTTGTGCTTGCACATCACATAGCTGATCTAACATTCTTGTTATAGCACATCACATAGCTGATCTAACATCCTTGTCATAGCACATTCACATAACTGGATCTAACATCCTTGTTACAGCACATTACATAACTGGTCTAACATCCTTGTTATAGCACATTACATAACTATCTAAAATCCTTGTTACAGCACATTACATAACTGGTCTAACATCCTTGTTAAAGCACATCACATAACTGGTCTAAAATCCTTGTTACAGCACATTACATAACTGGTCTAACATCCTTGTTATAGCACATCACATAACTGATCTAACATCCTTGTTATAGCACATCACATAACTGGTCTAACATCCTTGTTATAGCACATTACATAACTGGTCTAACATCCTTGTTGCAGCACATTACATAACTGGTCTAACATCCTTGTTATAGCACATCACATAACTGGTCTAACATCCTTGTTATAGCACATCACATAACTGATCTAACATCCTTGTTATAGCACATCACATAGCTGATCTAACATCCTTGTTATAGCACATCACATAACTGGTCTAACATCCTTGTTATAGCACATCACATAACTGATCTAACATCCTTGTCATTGCACATCACATAGCTGATCTAACATTCTTGTTATAGCACATTACATAACTGGTCTAAACATCCATGTTGCAGCACATTACATAACTGGTCTAACATCCTTGTTACAGCACATTACATAACTGGTCTAACATCCTTGTTACAGCACATTACATAACTGGTCTAACATCCTTGTTACAGCACATTACATAACTGGTCTAACATCCTTGTTACAGCACATTACATAAATGGTCTAACATCCTTGTTACAGCACATTACATAACTGGTCTAACATCCTTGTTGCAGCACATTACATAACTGATCTAACATCCTTGTTATAGCACATCACATAACATCCTTTTTTATAGCATGTAACATAGCTGAACTAAATGTTCAATCCTTGCTATAGCATGCTTTCTTTAGTTGTTGTTGATCTAACATCCTTGCTATAGCACATCACATACCTGATATAAGATCCATGCTATAGCACATCACATAGCTGATCTAACATCATTGTTATAGCAAATCAAATAGCATATCTAACATCCTTGTGATAGCACATCACAAAGCTGATCTAACATCCTTGTTATAGCACATCACATAGCTGATCTAACATCCTTGTTATAGCACATCACATAACTGGTCTAACATCCTTTTTATAGCACATCACATAACTGATCTAACATCCTTGTTATAGCAAATCACATAGCTGATCTAACATCCTTGTTATAGCACATAATATAGCTGATCTAACATCATTGTTATAGCAAATCACATAGCTGATCTAACATCCTTGTTATAGCACATCACATAGCTGATCTAACATCCTTGTTATAGCACATCACATAGCTGATCTAACATCCTTGTTATAGCACATCACATAGCTGATCTAACATCCTTGTTATAGCACATCACATAACTGATCTAACATCCTTGTTATAGCACATCACATAACTGATCTAACATCTTTGTTATAGCACATCACATAACTGATCTAACATCCTTGTCATTGCACATCACATAACTGATCTAACATCCTTGTTATAGCACATCACATAGCTGATCTAACATCCTTGTTATAGCACATCACATAACTGATCTAACATCCTTGTTATAGCACATCACATAACTGATCTAACATCCTTGTCATTGCACATCACATAACTGATCTAACATCCTTGTTATAGCACATCACATAACTGATCTAACATCCTTGTTATAGCACATCACATAACTGATCTAACATCCTTGTCATTGCACATCACATAGCTGATCTAACATTCTTGTTATAGCACATTACATAACTGGTCTAACATCCATGTTGAAGCACATTACATAACTGGTCTAACATCCTTGTTACAGCACATTACATAACTGGTCTAACATCCTTGTTACAGCACATTACATAACTGGTCTAACATCCTTGTTACAGCACATTACATAACTGGTCTAACATCCTTGTTACAGCACATTACATAACTGGTCTAACATCCTTGTTACAGCACATTACATAACTGGTCTAACATCCTTGTTATAGCACATCACATAACTGATCTAACATCCTTGTTATAGCACATCACATAACTGGTCTAACATCCTTGTTATAGCACATTACATAACTGGTCTAACATCCTTGTTGCAGCACATTACATAACTGGTCTAACATCCTTGTTATAGCACATCACATAACTGGTCTAACATCCTTGTTATAGCACATCACATAACTGATCTAACATCCTTGTTATAGCACATCACATAGCTGATCTAACATCCTTGTTATAGCACATCACATAACTGGTCTAACATCCTTGTTATAGCACATCACATAACTGATCTAACATCCTTGTCATTGCACATCACATAGCTGATCTAACATTCTTGTTATAGCACATTACATAACTGGTCTAACATCCATGTTGCAGCACATTACATAACTGGTCTAACATCCTTGTTACAGCACATTACATAACTGGTCTAACATCCTTGTTACAGCACATTACATAACTGGTCTAACATCCTTGTTACAGCACATTACATAACTGGTCTAACATCCTTGTTACAGCACATTACATAACTGGTCTAACATCCTTGTTACAGCACATTACATAACTGGTCTAACATCCTTGTTGCAGCACATTACATAACTGGTCTAACATCCTTGTTATAGCACATCACATAGCTGATCTAACATCCTTGTTATAGCACATCACATAGCTGATCTAACATCCTTGTTATAGCACATCACATAGCTGATCTAACATCCTTGTTATAGCACATCACATAGCTGATCTAACATCCTTGTTATAGCACATCACATAGCTGTTATAACATCCTTGTTATAACATCACATAGCTGATTTAAAATCCTTGTTGTGGCATAACACATAGCTGGTAAGACTCAAAATCTAAAAGAAAGAAAACAAACTACAATAATAGTCACAAGCAGAAGATTTAAAATCAAATTTGGGTTAGGTATTGTTTTTAGCTGGAGGCTTTACCTGGTGTTCTGTAGCAGTTTTTGATGCCGAGAAGTTGCACCTCCATTCTCTAAAATAGCTCGACATTTGTCTTGAGATGTGTAAAGTATGAAGTTTGATGTATGCTAACTTCATCATGTGTTCCCTGGCCATAAACTGCTTCCATTGCTCAAATGCAACACAAACAGGCCAATGCTTCAATCGATGAATTACTGTTATTGCGGTCTCCTGTTTCAAACAAATATAAACAATCAACATAGCAACAAGAATTGACTAGAACATTAAGTCTTTCATAAGCAATATTTCAGAAAGAAAAAATATACTAACTGATATAGGTTACTCGACTAAGGTGAGTTTTATAAAATGTTTTCATAAACATTAGTCAAGTTTTTAAAACTCTAAGCATCTATTTGGTCTTCTCTAGTTCTATATTGTCTCTCAGCATCAGATATAGATACCAAACCAACACCAATAATAATCTACTGCTTCCAGGTTCAACAACTCTAACTGAAAACATTCACACCACCGATACTTCCCCAAAGAGAGTTTTTAATTTCCTGAATGAAACCACTTCCTCTGTTATCTTGAAGGACTGGTTTTTTTTTTTTTTTTAAATCTATCTGCCCATGATACTTTTCCATATTTTTCAAGCTATGTCAACAACAACAAAAATCATATATTTCTGTTGCATTTTTACTTTACAAGCACAGCTTTTGAATAATTTTTTAAGCAAAGCATTGTTTAGTAGCTTAGTTATAATAAAATATGCAATTTTCGTTATTAGAACTGCTGCTATATTAATGACAATGTTGACATGAAAAAATAGACATTCAGCAAGGTGACTGCAGTGTTAACATGAAACAATAGACATTTAGCATTGTGACAGCATCGTTAACATGAAACAATAGAAGTTTAGGCTCTCCTGTCAAATCCGGACGAAGAATAAACAGCCGTGGACGAGTTAGTCAGAGTTCTCTCCCTTGGCCGCACTCCGAACAGTAATCGGCAGAAATAAACGACACACTTAACTATCATGAAACAGGGCTGCGTACGGTTTCGTGAGGCATGTGAATGGTTGTGTAGTCATCATCATGCGGTTGTTTGTTAGAGTTTATTGTTAGGGTTAGGGTTAGGGGTAGGGTTAGGGGTAGGGTTAGGGGTAGGGTTAGGGTTAGGGTTAGGGGTAGAGTCGGGTTAGGGTTAGGTTTAGGGGTAGGGATAGGGGTAGGGTTAGGGTTAGGGTTAGGGTTAGGGGTAGGGTTAGGGGTAGGGTTAGGGTTAGGGTTAGGGGTAGGGTTAGGGTTAGGGTTAGGGGTCGGGTTAGGGTTAGGGGTAGGGTTAGGGGTAGGGTTAGGGGTAGGGTTAGGGGTAGGGTTAGGGTTAGGGTTAGGGGTAGGGTTAGGGTTAGGGGTAGGGTTAGGGTTAGGGTTAGGAGTCGGGTTAGGGTTAGGTTTAGGGGTAGGGTTAGGGTTAGGGGTAGGGTTAGGGGTAGGGTTAGGGTTAGGGGTCGGGTTAGGGGTAGGGTTAGGGGTAGGGTTAGGGTTAGGGTTAGGGTTAGATGTTAAAATTTTGACGTAGGGTTTGGAAATAGTGGCCGACAATCTGATGTTTGTGGGCGTGGCGCCACTGGAATTCTGCTAAATATGACGCCAATAGTGTGCGGCTGGTGCCCAATCGTATGCGAATGGTGCGTTTCACCAGCATCCAGAGGCCCTCAATTGTTTGTGTGTGTATGTGACTGTGTACGGCGTCGACGAAGTTGGTCTGGTGGACTACTACCTCGTGCACACGATTGCGTGTTCCTTATCAGACTATGCTCAGCTAGCCACCGCAACCACGCATACTTATCTGTCATTATGGCATACAGGTCTGCGGGAGTTACGTCCGTGACAACTAAGTCGTGCGTCGGAGTAACGATGTTAGTTATGTGAGCACGTCTAACTGCCATGTTGCTTGTGTCGTTTGTTTCGTTGTGGCTTTTCCGATCACTGTTCGCAGTGCGCCCAAGGGAGAGAACTCTGACTAAGTCGTCCAAGGCTTTTTATTCTTCGTCCGGATTTGGCAGGAGTACCGAAGTTTAGCAATATGTTGGCAGCGTTAATGTAAAACAACAGACATTTAGCAATGTGACTGCAGCATCAACGAGAAACAACAGACATTTGACATTTTGACATTTAATGTGAAAAAAACTGTTATATTAGCAATGTGGTAGTGGTGCTAATGTGAAACAACAGACATTTGGCAATGTGACTGCAGCATCAACGAGAAACAACAGACATTTGGCAATGGGAGAGTGGCATTAATGTGAAATAACAGACATTTGGAAATGCGACGGTGATGTTAACATGAAACAACAGACATTTGGCAATGGGAGAGTGGCATTAATGTGAAACAACAGACATTTGGCAATGCAATGGTGATGTTAACATGAAACAACAGACATTTGGCAATGTGACAGTTGCATTAACGTGTAACAACAGACATTTGGCAATGTGATGACATGAAACAATAGACATTTAGCAATGTGTTCACAAAAAACAACAGACATTAGCTAAATCAGCCAATTCATCAGATACAAAAATACTTATTTTTTTTACCTTTAGCCTCTTACATTTTGTGCTGTAGACATCAGCAGAGGCCTGTAGTCCTCCAGAAAGTAAGATCATCCTGTGCTCTGTCTCCTGGATGTGATCATCCTCATGGAAATGGCTGCAATAAATTAAATAAGATTTCCTGGATCTTGTTACAAATGTTTATAACAAAAACAAAACAAACAAAAAAGATCATGAAAGGGAATACTGTGGACAGAGAAAAGAGGTATGAAAAGATGGGAATATTGTGGTGTAGAAGTGTGGTCAAGACTAGGAATAGGAGGGACATCTGAAAATGTGAGCATAGAAGAGAGGCTTTAAAGTGTAAGAGCTCTGTGGGTAAAGAACTGTGGGCGTAGAAGAGAGATATGAAACTAAGTATAGAAGAGAGATATGAAACTGTGGGTACAGAAGAGAGATATGAAACTGTGGGTACAGAAGAGAGATATGAAACTGTGGGTACAGAAGAGAGATATGAAACTGTGGGTACAGAAGAGAGATATGAAACTGTGGTTACAGAAGTGAGATATGAAACTAAGTGTAGACGAGAGATATGAAACTGTGGGTACAGAAGAGAGATATGAAACTGCGGGTACAGAAGTGAGATATGAAACTGTGGGTACAGAAGTGAGATATAAAACTGTGGGCATAGAAGAGAGATATGAAACTGTGGTTACAGAACCCAGTTCTAAAACTGTTGGTGTAGATGAGAGTTCTGAAATTGTGGGCATAGAAGAGTGGTCTAAAACTGTAAACGTAGAAGTGTGATCTGAAACTGTGGGTTTTGAAGAGTGCTCTGAAAGTGACCCATGTTATGCACACTTATGTGCAAAAGCATGGACAAAGTTTTTGTGGGTGGGGATTGGTGAGAGTGTGTGACAATTGGTGACAGTGTATGGCATGTGGTAATTGGTGACAGGGTGTGTAATGATTGGTGACATATGGTGATTGGTGACAGTGTGTGATGATTGATGACATATTGTGATGACTGGTGACTGTGTGTGGTGATTGGTGACAGTGTGTGATGACTGGTTACATGCATTGATGGGTGATGGTATGATGATTGGGTAGGATGTGTGATGACTGGTGACTGTTGGTGGAGACTGGCTGGTGAAGATTCTGACTGATGATGATTAAGACGATTGCTGACTAGTATTGGTGGGTGACAAAAATGAAATAACAACTGATTGCCAAATTGTGACACAGCAAATCAGAAGACCTACCCATGGAAAGGAGCAGTCAAGTCACAGCCTTGGTCAACAACATCATCACCTGAAATGGGGAGAAACTGGCTAAATTGTACCTCCAAATTTCCAATATGGGCGGAAAATGCAGTACAAAGTAACATTCACAACGAGAATAACAAAACAAAAAAGAAAAATAGTGAAACAAACATGATTCAGTTGAACTGTTGAAAAGACCAACTCTCACCCATCTTTTCAACCATATCCACACTGTAAATTAGGACAGAGCATTTTAAGTTATATTGATATCTGTCGATCAATAGCAGAGTCCTAAGATTTCTCGAAGCAGCTAATATTAATTTCCTCTGTCCAGATTTGTATAAAAATGGCGGATATATTAGTGTAATTGCACTTGCCTTGATCAAACAGGCAGTAATTTTTTAGTGGTTGATTTTTAATTTCAGTTCTAAAAGGTTCATTTATATGTCTCATTTTATTTAATTGTTGCAGTAGTACAACCTGATGAGATACAGGGAAAATGCCAGGCAATACATTGTGCAGTGTGCTGTCTCTGTCTTCTTTGTTCAGTTAAATGTCATTTCATTATCTGAAGCAAATGTGTTGTGAGAAACTGTACTAAAGTATTCATCAAGGTAAATGTTCAGAACATACATCTGTTGATGTAACACTTCCTAGGGAAGTTAAGAAATGTATGCATAGGAAATTAGTGGTACAGACAAAATATGTAGAATTAGAGAGACTATAGACTAAGTGTGATACATATATATATATATATATATATATATATATATATATATATATATATATATATATATATATATATATATATATATATATATATATATATATATATATATATATATATATATATATATATATATATATATATATATATATATATATATATGATAGAACTGTACAAAGCTGTGATGAGAACAGTAAAATATAGGAAGTGTGGGGTACAGATAGATGATATAGAACTTCACAGACATAGATTATCTGTGATACAGATATATATTGTAAGCTATACAAAGCTGGGAGGACAACAGTAAAACATAGAAAATCTGTGGTACAGACAGTATAGAACTTCACAGACATAGAATATCTGTGCTACAGATATATATTATAGAACTATACAGAACTGTGAGGACAACAGTAAAATATAGGCAATCTGTGGTACAGACAGATGATATATAACTTCACAGACATAGAATATCTGTGCTACAGATATATATTATAGAACTATACAGAACTGTGAGGACAATAGTAAAACTGACAACACATAATACCATTTATCTTCAAGTGTTCACATCCGGTTCTGGAGTCATTGAAAATTCCAATCTTGTCAGAAAATTTCTGGACAGCTTCAGAGCCTAATGATCTGGTGACCTGGTGCCAGGCTGAGAACAAGGTCAGCAACAGCCGCGGGGAGTAGCTCACCTGGTAGGCACTAGAGGAGGAGAAGGTGAGCTAAATATATTTTCAGTGTACTTTTAAACATTTATAGTAATTATATTTGTGTATTAAGGGGGCCAGCGTAGTGTAGTGGCTAGATTCTCATCTGCAGATCGGAAGGTTGTGAGTTTGTTTCCTGACAAAGCCAGATTTTTTTTTTAAATTACCTTGGCTCCCAGGTGAACCCAACCTTAAATGGGCACCAGGTACAGTCCAGGACTGTAGTTAAGGTGGCCAGTGTGATGTTGACCACATCAACCACTGAATACCTATTGGTCTATAAAGTATAGGTCTAGCCCTATATGCCTTATGCGCTGAAGGTGTGGAGATGGACCCTTTACTTACTTTACTATACTGTGTAGTTTATTTTTGCGGATATTTAAAGTGATCTGGAATATTTTACCCCTCATGTTTGATGTTTGAGATAATGTTCCTCCATGCCATCATACCGCACTGTCAATCATTTTCTATCCTAGAATGTACTCATTCAAAAAACACACACAGAAGCAGTCAGTACAACACAAAATTGTCCACACAACAATGCATGGTGTACGAATCAGAAAAACAAGACATCGCATATCTGTGGCAACATTTCTCTGACTCACCGAGAGATAAGACTCAGCTGCATGTGTCGCCTCCAAAAAATGAACACTAGCCAGAGTTTTGTTTGATCATGCTTCTGTTCAAAGAGGCCAATTTGCTGTTCAAGTACAAAAACTTGTTCCCTGGTATTTTCTATCCAGGCTGTGAAATACTGTCTTTTTAGTTGCTGGTAGGCTTCCTAGTTAATCAGATTTGACAATGGTTTATTTTTTGCAAGTAAAATAGATAATTCTTACAGATACTCAAAACAGATAACTTGTATATGAGCTACTTCAAAAAGATAAGTTTTATATCTTGTTTATATCATATAAACATATAACTTGTGTATAGCATACTTCGAGCATAAACTTGTATATGAGCTTCTTCAAACAGATAACTTGTATATGAGCTACTTCAAAGAGATAAGTTTTATATCTTGTTTATATCATATAAACATATAACTTGTGTATAGCATACTTCGAGCATAAACTTGTATATGAGCACCTTCAAACAGATAACTTGTATTTCTTGTATATATCAAACATATAACTTGTGTATAGCATACTTCGAGCATAAACTTGTATATGAGCACCTTCAAACAGATAACTTGTATTTCTTGTATATATCAAACATATAACTTGTGTATAGCATACTTCGAGCACATATCTTCTTGTATATGAGCGTACTTTCAACATGTGATGACCCTGCTATGCACAGTCTCCATGCTCACAGCAAGCCATTCAGAAAACCCATGCAAGAGATGATCGCAAGGAAAATTTAAAAAAATATTCATAGCTAAAGATATGAACTAGGCAAAGCCTGAGGTTGGCTCGTGGTTAATTAGGAACCAGTGCTTGGAAAAGACAGCTGTGAGGGTGTGATGTAGTAACTGTTGTGTATTAAGTGTTATGTAAATGATTGTAGGATCACTCTGGAAGCGGGTAGCGATGGCTGTGATTGAATGAACTGTGACTGAAGGGAATAAACTGGCAGAAACTGATATCAGAAACTGAGCGCTGTCCGGTGTTATTCATTGCAGAATGTTGTGTCTGTTCCCTAGCAATAATTAATACAAGTGTAAACAAGCTTTATTACAAGGGCGAACTTTCTGAAGAAATTTGAACCACGTGGACATCAGTCATGAAATTAAAAAAAAATGGTCTGCTGAAGAAAACGATTCATCCTAGTGAGAACCTCATAAATCCTAGACCGTGCCTCATTGTGCACATGGCGTAAACATACATTGGTTGGCCAAGTTGACTAATGAAAAATAAGTTCAGAGATTGATATTGTTTCAGTTCTTGTTGTAACATTTTCCAGAAGCAGTGATTTTATCATTATACAGTTATAATTATGTAATAGTTCATTTTCATATTGTATCCAGTAAAATATTACTAGAAGTATATATGCTGTAAATTTTCGTTATATTGTTATATAATTGGCATTGATTTCACAAATTTGCCATAAGTATTGCTGTAATGTTCATTACTTGTGAGAATATTTCATTTTGTTGTAAAGTCAGTCAGACTGGCCGATTATTCATTGAATTAATATCGCTCCCATTGCAACATACGCCTGTGAGACCTGGACACTTACTAAACAAGCGGAACAGCGCATAAATGCAGTTGAATATAAATGTTACAGACAGGTTCTAAGAATATCTTGGGTAAAGAAAAGAACAAATGCATCCATACTTCAAGAGCTGAATATTGTAGAGGGTTGGCTAGTAAAGACAATAAAACAAAGAAAATTGAAATATTTTGGTCACTTGAAACGTCATGGAAGTCTAGAGAGAACAATAATGGAGGGGTATATGCCTATGAAGAGAGGAAGAGGAAGGCCAAGGAGAAGATGGGTGCAGGATGTGGCAGATGATCTCCAGATGGGTGTATCAGACGCAGGACATCTTGCTCAGGATAGGAAGGTTTTCCGGAGGGTTGTTATGGCAGCGAGGTTCCGCGAGGGACATGCTACTGAATGAATGAATGAATGAATGAATATCGCTCTAAATTCGAATGTAAAGTCATGATACTATAAATAAACACTATTATAATTGTTAATTGAATATTATGAAATACTGAGTGCAACAAGATATAATATTTGTCATTACATTTGATTATGTTGTTGCACATTTTATTGTAATTTGATACTATACTATTAATTTTTGGTACTATTTGATACTATTGGTAATATTGATACTTTAAAACAAGCTACTAATATTGTGATTATGGTGTATTATCAATTTCAGCTGCTAAAACACCACACCCAGCGAAATAAAACAGCCAAAGTTGCAGCCCAAGCTGACCTAGAAATTATTACATCAGTTATCACATCAGCTACCAGAATGTGTTGTATTGTAACATCATGATTCATCACAACAAGTGTGCTCTTCTCATTGCTTCCTCTTCTTCTTTCATTTGCTTTAAATATGTGTGCAATGTTGTCTCTAGTATGAACTTCACTGCTTTTTGTAATTCACTTAAAGTTTGACTTGCACTGATGTTTCTCATTGCATATTACCAGTGTTACAGGTTTGGTTGATTTTTCATTTCAATAAATTTAACTGTTCGTTAATCAACATGATGCATAATAATGCAGCACATATGCAACACTTGCCAAGAATCAACCAGGAAACAACATCAGTAATAATCAAAGAGAAAGAAACACAGATCAACCAGAAAAGTGAAGTAAACAACTCTTGTACATATTGTCATTATAAACACAGCTAAAAAATATTTGTGATAAAAATCCGGCATACACACAATATCTTGCAGACACTGTTAATAAGAAATGGGAGAAGAAACAATGTAAAATGCCAGAACAATGCCAATTTTGTTCTGCCATGAAGTTTTGTGTTAGAAAACAGACGCTAAAAGACCAGAAAAGAACTAGACTCACAGAAAGTAAAAATAAAACTAAGGAATTGAACTTTACAGTGAACAAACCTTCAGAGCTAGGCTGTGCTTTATGTGACTGGAGAAGAAAACTGGGACATGAGACATTGTGTATTACCAGATTACCAGACAGACACAATGAATCACTGAAGAACAAAGAAGCAAGATAATAAAATTGTCATTGCTGAGACTGAACCTGTCACAAATACTTATACAAACAAGAAAGTAAAAAAAGAGTTCAGCTCCTGAAATTAAAACTGGAAGTAATGCGAATTTAAGTTCAGAAACTATAAAACCAAGTCAGCAAATAAACAGATCCAGAAAGAAAATTTGCTAATACAACCCAGAAACAGAATCAAACAAAATACAGTCTAGAACTTAGTGTGTGAAACATAGAAATTACTGAAATACCAATGGGTAAAAATGCTTTAGATGAGGAATTTGGCTAAAACATGACCAAGGCATACCTAATGAGGTTATTAGAACTGAAATTAATTGGAGAAACATGGAAAAACAAAAACAAAATGTTTTGTGAACAATAAATCATGTAACCTGCAACAAAATAAAAAGACAAGATTTACCACATAATTATTAGTCTTATACACCTATTTTAAAATGATAACTTGATATGAGAGACCTCCTAAGAGATAACTTGTATATGAATCTACTTTCAACTGATAACTTGTATATAAGCCTTTTTCTAACAGATAACTTGTATATGAGCCTTTTTCTAACAGATAACCTGTATATGAGCCTTTTTCTAACAGATAACATGTATATGAGCCTTTTTCTAACAGATAACATGTATATGAGCCTTTTTCTAACAGATAACCTGTATATGAGCCTTTTTCTAACAGATAACATGTATATGAGCCTTTTTCTAACAGATAACATGTATATGAGCCTTTTTCTAACAGATAACTTGTATATGAGCCTTTTTCTCACAGATAACATGTATATGAGCCTTTTTCTAACAGATAACTTGTATATGAGCCTTTTTCTAACAGATAACTTGTATATGAGCCTACTTCCAACAGTTAACTTGTATATGAGCCTACTTCCAACAGATAACTTGTACACCGCCTACATTATTGCCTCCTTACGTTATAATACTATATCCAGAAGTTACACCACCTCAGTTATTGTCTCCCTGTGTTACACATACCACATCTAGGAGTTACACCACCTTTTTATTGTCTCTGCATGTTACACATACCACATTCAGTTGTTACATCACCTCATTTGTTGTCTTCCTGTGTTACACATACCACATCTAGAAGTTACACCTCCTTTTTTATTGTCTCTGCATGTTACACATACCACATTCAGTAGTTACATCACCTCAGTTGTTGTCTCCCTGTGTTACACATACCACATCTAGGAGTTACACCACCTTTTTTATTGTCTTTATATGTTACACATATCACATTCAGTAGTTACATCACCTCAGTTGTTGTCTCCCTGTGTTTCACATACCACATCTAGGAGTTACACCACCTTTTTTATTGTCTTTATATGTTACACATATCACTTTCAGTAGTTACATCACCTCAGTTGTTGTTTCCCTGTGTTACTCATACCACATCTAAGAGTTACACCACCTCTTTTGTTGTCTCCGCATGTTACACATACCACATCCAGCTGTTACACCAACTCACACTGCTCCATTCTACACCAACTCACATTGCTCCATTCTACACCAACTCACACTGCTCCATTCTACACCAACTCACACTGCTCCATTCTGTACTTTAACTCTCTCCTTGTCATAGTATTATTTTTTTTATTTTATTTTATTCATTCTGCACAAACATTTTTTTTACTAAAAGTTAAATCTTTTGGGAAGAGTAGGATTTAACTCTTTCATTCCAAGGAATACATTATACATTCATGGGTTCTTGCCTAGAAGCCAAATAGATGTAATATGTGACGATTTTACATCTCTCTTTACTACCCCTTGAGTCTTTGATGCTAAAGCCCCTGGGACTGATACTAAGGGAGTCAATTCACCAGTCACTTGATCTCTTAAGTGTTACTGAAACAATCATCATCATCAGGTGCCTTGCCGACTGGCGTGGGTGATCATGCCTCTCCATAATCTGCGATCTCCTGCAGCATGTATCAGTTTGTGTGCCGACACACCTCCATGCCATGCAACAAGACTGTCAAGCATCTTCCCTCGTTGTCTTCCTCTATCTCTCCTTCCACAGATCTTTCCAGTGGTCACAACATGTTCTATTTTCCCTCTTCTCATAAGATGGCCAAAAAATGATGACCGTCTCCTTCTGATGTCTGTGATAAGTTGTCTTCGGGCTCCCGCCTTTTTCAAAACCTCTTGGTTGCTCTTTTTGGCTGTCCAAGGAATTCTAAGCATTCTTCTGTAAAACCAAATCTCTGAGGCCTCAAGAAATTGTTTGGCCTGCCTAACTGAAACAATGCAACCTTAAAATACAGGACAACCTAGTCATTGCTGAAAAAATATAACAAAAAACACAATAAAACAAGAAATAGATTTCCAGATAGGCCAGCTGTTCACCAAAGCTCTGAAAAATTATTACTTTCTAGCCACTTTTTGCTTATGCAGTTTCCCTTTTTCTTCACTGGCAGTCCAAATTTTACATTACATCTCACAGCTACTGAGGTGAGTCTCGGTGTGGAATTTGTGTGTATGTGTGGGGTTCACTCCTCCTTCTCCCTGTTGTGTGTTGTGAACTGCACAAAATGGTGGGTTGCAATAGCATGTACTCAAGCAGTATAGTGTGAAAATGCTGCCTTTCATGACTGATTGCTTGCATTAAAAAAAAATTAGCTGCAATTATGATGAAATACTGTTAGTGTTGGCACATCTGATGGCTGCCTTATGAATTTATTTTGCATGTGCAAGATTTAAGATTTTGCTGGGACGTGTGTGTGTGTGTGTGCACGCATGCACACGCTCGTTTGCCTGCCTGACTGCGTGCGTGCATGTGTGTGGGTGGCTGTGGGTGTTTGTGCTTTTTACTAGTTTTCAAACTCGGGCAGAAAAGAAAGCTGTGTGTGCTTTTCCCTGGCACAGCAACACAGCATTTATAGGATGACCCTTTTGCTGTGAACCTAGAATCTTGACTAATTAACCAACTGAATCAATGAACAATTATGGACATATACAGTAGCTACACAAAAACAAAATTAGACATACATTAGCAAAGATCTCCACTGTTACAACAAAATACAGAAAGTATAAAACTACCTTTTCCTCCTGAATCATCACTTTGTGAAGATGTTGTTTTCCAGCTTTATCCTTCCACTCATAAAATTGTTTACGCATCAGACGCAGAATGTTAAAATGATGAGCTTGTCTCTTGCGATGAATCAGCCAGTGGATTGGCAAAGATCAGTTGTAGTACCTATCTGGAAGAAAAAAGGAAACAAGAGAGAATGTGGAACTTATAGAGGAATATCTTTACTAAGTCATGTGGGGAAAATGTATGCAAAGATCTTAGAAGGTAGGACAAGAGCAAAGGTTGAACCTCTACTGAGTAAAGCACAATTCGGTTTCAGGAAAGGGCGAGGTTGCACTGATGCCATATTTGCACTAAGACAAGTCTGTGAAAAGACACTCGAATACGATAAAGAGCTGAACGTGGTCTTTGTAGATCAAGAGAAGGCATTCGACCGTGTAGACAGAGATGTGCTGTGGAGAATTCTTGACGATTACGGAGTGCAGGGTCAATTATTAGACAACATCAGAGCCCTCTATGAAAAAAAAGTGAAAGTGCAGTAAGAACATCTAGTGGTCTTTCTGAATGGTTCAAAGTCACAACTGGTGTCAGACAAGGATGTGTACTGTCACCATTACTTTTCATAACATACATGGATAAGATCACTGTAGAAGCAAACCCAGACGTGTATGCTATAAACGAATTACTTTTTGCTGATGATCAAAGCATACTGTATCAAAATGAATATGATCTACAGGAACATCTGACTACTCTCAACAACAGCTGTTTACAACATAATATGAGAATCAGTACAGAAAAAAACAGAAGTTATGAAGATCAGCAGAACACACAGGCCACTGAATATAAATGTTGGAAGTGCCAAAATCAAGCAAACCAAAGAGTTCAAATACTTGGGCAGTATATTTACAGAGGATGGAAGAATGGACAGAGAGATAGAAACAAGAATACAGAAAGCAAATGCTGTCACATACCAACTATCACCTCTGCTTTAAACATCCAGATATAACCATGAAGACCAAAAGACAATTGATAAACACCATCTTCATTCCAACACTCTGCTACCAGTGCCAGACATGGACAATCAACAAGACCCATGAAAGAAAAATAGAAGCCTGTGAAATGAAATGTCTAAGAAAAGCAGCGAATAAGACAAGACTAGACAGGATAAAGAATATAGACATTAGAAACACTGTCAAAACTACACCATGTTTAGACTACATAGAACATCCAAAGAATGAAATGGTTTGGACATCTAACCAGGATGAAAAATGATCAAATAACATCACAAATTTTCAATCAAAGAAGCTCAGGATATAAGGCAAGAGGAAGACCAAGGAAATGGTGGATTGACGGGGTCTCCGAAACCTGCCAAAAGCATGGCCTCAGAACATCAGATGCTGCCCGCCTTGCTTATGACAGGAACTTGCATCTCCCCACAACGCTTAGCGGCATACGTGGAAGGAAAAAGTAAAAGTAAAGTAAAGTAAGACTAATGCAGTAAATAATAGTAGTAGTTACCTCCAGGAACAGAAGAACTTGCGTAAAACTGTTGTCTGGAAGATGCGCTTTGAGATTTGACATCTTGATTTGTGTCTGGCCAAAGTTCTCCAACTCGAGAAGTGCCTGCATTAAATTATAACTGCTCAGGGCCCTCCTCAACAGGAAGTAACAAATAAAGTTGCAAGAAAATATAAACAACAGTTATGTCACATAAACAAACAAACCAAAGTTTCATATTACATTATAAGGAGAAGTGATAAACCAAAACAGCACTTATAAATTTTGATACGTGGGTCAGCTTTACAAAATTACAATAAAAAAAATTTTTTTTAAACAGAAAAGCAGCAAAGGTTATTGCAAACAGATTGATATCTCTATCACTGGCATAAAATCTTGCTTTGGGGATCAAACCAGTATTCCCTCTTTGGAAAGTCGTCTCATTCATAATTTAGGTATTCTGGGCCCAGTTGAAACCAATGTTCAGTATACCTTTATCTAAAACTTATTAATTTAAAATGTGTATGGTCATAATATTTTTTAAACACAAATTTTTTTAAAAATTATTATTAAAAATTATTTATGTATCTTTCTAAATTTTCTTTTATTTCTCTCACACTCCTTTCTCTTCCCTCTTTCCCTTTGCTTCATTTGACTTTTATTTTACACCTCTTCCTATTCCAAATTTTTACATTTCCCTTCTATTTATTTCTTTTGTGACTCTTAGTTGTAGTATGATTTTATGATTTTATGATTCCTGTTATTTTTATTTGTAAATTAAAAAAAAAAAAAAAAGAAAAGAAATTTTAATTGAAAATTTTGGTTTTATTTGTGTACACCTTTTCCTTTCTCCTCTTTGGGCTTCCTCAGTCATGTTTTATGTTAAGTTTTCTTTTTACATGATGCAACGATGCATCTTGGAAATATCATCATTAAAACACATAAATCAAAAATAGACAAGACTGACTTCATCAGTAGCTGCAGCTCTGTCCTCTGGACCAGGGGTTTGATGGTCACAGCTCGGCAAGTGTTCTCTTTCCAGGTGTTAAAGACAAACAGCAGGTGGCATCTCTCCAGGTGTAAATGTAGGTCAAGAGCCTGTTCTATCTGTTTCTGGTGTTTTTGCAGAGAGCTCCTCCACCTTGCAAACATGGCTGTTGAAAACAAAACACAGAGTAGATATTCTAGTGCACCCAGTGTAGATATAGTGCAAATACAGTAGATATAAGGCCTTCATTGTAGATATAGTACATATATGGTAGATAAAATGATTATAGTATATAAATAGTACATATATGGTAGATAAAGTGCAATCATGATAGATATTGTACTTATATGGAAGAGATGGTTCTTACAGTTTGCATATAGTACAAACTACAAATATGGTATATATATTGCAATGATGGTAGATATAGTACATATATGGTAGATATAGTGCTTTAATTGTAAATATAGTACACACGTGGTAGTTATGGCGATTAGAGTGTAGATATATTACATAAATGGTTGATACAGCATAATCATTATAGATATAGTACTTACATGGTAGATATAGTGCTAACCGTTTAAATATAAAACTTGTATGGTAGATACAGTGCTTACATTTTAAATATAATACGTAGATGTACACATACATAGTGCACACAAATTAGATAGTGCACACAGATTAGATATAGGTCAAGCAGAATAGATACAGTACAGACTGAGTAGATATAGTACACAGAGATTAGATATAGTGCACATAGATTATATATAGTGCACATAGATTAGTTATAGTGCACACAAATTAGATATAATGCACTTTGATTTGATCTAGAGCATGAAGAGTACATATACTGCATACAGATTAGATAAAGTGCACACAGAGTAGACATAGTGCACACAGAAAAAACATAGTGCATTCAGATTAGATATAGTGCACACAAAGTAGACAGTGCACACAGAGTAGATATAGTGCACACAGAGTAAATATACTGCACACAGATTAGATATAGTGCACACAGAGTAGATATAGTGCACACAGAGTAGACATAGTGCACACAGAGTAGATATAGTGCACAGTGTAGAAATATCACACTCTGAAAGCAAAGATGGCTGTCCCGATATTGACCACATCACCCATATAAGGGTCTATAAAATATGTGGCTAGCACCATATGCAATGATGTGAAGAAATGTCACCATCACGTGATCTTTACTTGACTTTATTCAATAAACTGACATGTATCTACTGCCTAAAAAAATCATCAACAAACTGACATGCATCTACTGTTCACTAAAATCATCAACAAACTGACATGCATCTACTGTCCACTTAAATCATCAACAAACTGACATGCATCTACTGTTCACTAAAATTATCAACAAACTTACATGCATCTACTGTTCACTAAAATTATCAAGAAACTGACATGCATCTACTGTTTAAAAAATCATCATCAAACTGACATGCAACTACTGTTTAAAAAAATCATCATCAAACTGACATGCAACTACTGTTTAAAAAAATCATCATCAAACTGACATGCAACTACTGTTTAAAAAAATCATCATCAAACTGACATGCATTTTGCCCAACTAGTGAAAGCTAGTTCAGATGCAGGAGCAGCAGCACAAGAAGCAAAGTCAGAATTTGCCCTACTGGAGAAGGAAAGAAATGCTACAAAGAAACCAAGTATCAGCAGAGCTGACAGAGCTGTATCCACTTACAACGTAACAACAATGAAGCATTAAACACAGATGACTGAATCACCCAAAAGCAAGGACCAAGGCACAGAAACCCATAGCTTTGGCCACAAAGTCAAAAAGCCGACGCCTATTTTCGAGTCCACCAGAGAAGAGAGACGTCAACTTGACCAAAAAATGGAAAAGGAAAAAATCCTACAGGCACAACTAGCAGAGGCATGGGCCCGAGTAGAACCCTATAAAGTGTGAGATTTTGACGAGGAAACAGGACCGAATACTGGAAATTCAAAAACAGCCACCCCGGACGAGGAAAGAGAACAAACTCAATGTCAGCAAACGACCCAAGGCAAGCGTGGCAGACAAAGGAACGTCCAACACTAAGACAACTGCCAGCGCCTGACCCACCCTTCCCCGTTCCAGGCTGTCCCGGGCCATCCCAGGCAAAACTGGCAGTCCTTTTTAGGACTGCCTGAATCCACTCCCACGAGGTCAAAACGAGCCAGACCAGTACCAGTGACAAGCAGCAGAAGACAGACTCCAGTGAGAGCCCAACCAATAAAGCAAGCCCAGATACCAGGCTGTCATCTTCGAGGAAAAACCAGCTCACCAAAAATGGAGAAAACGCGGACAAGCGCCAGGCCAGACAGCAGAAACTCCATTTATCCCCGCTCCAGTGCCGCCCGGAAGTAACCTCACAGCTCGCGACAAGCCAGGCATGATGTCAACCACCAAATTTACTCCCACCCATACCGATCCAGGCCGCCCCAGGAAAACTCTACTAGTCCTTTTCAGGACTAGTAGACACCCACCCCCTATCAAAGTCAGTGTTGCAGAAATATGCAAGGAAATCATATCAAGGCATGAACACACGTCACAAAAATGAAAAAATAAAACCGCACAGAAATAAGGACGCAATTAAAGCCAAGCCTCAGTGGCAGGCTGAAGCAGTCCGATTTTTTTTTTCCATTCTAATCGTAATCATAACATGCATTTACTGTCCACTAAAATCATCAACAAACTGACATGCATCTACTGTCCATTAAAATCATCAAGAAACTGACATGCATCTAATGTCCATTAAAATCATCAACAAATTGACATGCATTTACTGTCCACTAAAATCATCAACAAACTGACATGCATCTACTGTCCATTAAAATCATCAAGAAACTGACATGCATTTACAGTCCAATAAAATCATCAACGAATTGGCATGTATCTAGTGTCCATTAAAATCTTCGAGAAACTGACATGCATCTACTGTCCATTAAAATCATCAAGAAACTGACATGCATCTACTGTTGAATAAAATCATCAAGAAACTGAAATGCATCTACTGTTAAATAAAATCATCAAGAAACTGACATGCATTTACTGCCCACTAAAATCATCAACAAACTGACATGCATCTACTGTTCACTAAAATCAACAAGTCTGAACTATCTGACCTCTCATCCTTCGCTGCTCCCTCTCCGGTTGGGTGGCCTGACACAGTCGCTCTAGGGACCCTCTGTAGCAGATGAGCCTCCATTGCCTGGCCACTTGTCTGCATCCCATCAGAGAAAAACAAAACCAGTGTCAAATGTATGTGAAGTCAACCAACAGTATGAAATATTTCTCAGCAACAACACACAAACACAAGCCATGTGGCATCATGTTACTGCTGATCACATCCGCATACGGACAAGAGGATGTGCTTCAGATATTCTGTCTATGTCTTGATAGATGCTTAGTAACAATCTTAGTGTTTTAGTTATTTGTCCTTGTTAAAAACAAAGGAACAGATGTTCTTGAACTGTTTAATATTCATCACTAGCATCATCCCCATGTGGGATGCAATTTTTAGTTATTTTGAAGCCCCACCCTGGCTTTTTGCCGGAGGCCCTGAATATAGCCAGGCCTTAAATATGGTCTAACTGCTGAACAGGGTTTCCAGGACCTCGCCATGGGTGATCCTCATCCACATGCTGGCACTTTGTGTCACCAAATGTTTATTGCTTGTGTGATGTCCTAGTAGGTACAACTTACCTACCTGTCATGATTACTAGATTATAACTTATTGTTGGGTGTGGATAAAAGAAAATAGCATTACCAGAGTAGTTATAGTGTCTGATTCTGACTCAGTACTGTGGAAGCTTCAAAATGGGGACAAATGTGGCATGAGTGGATACCAAGCATCAGCTTGAAAATGGATTTTCTAGCTACAAAAGCAATAGCTGCAGGAACACTCATACTGAACAAAGGTGACATCCTGAAGACCATTTGTGAACAAATGCTGACATGAGACATGAGGTTAGACGAAATAACATGTGTAAGAATATGTGAACGATGAATCAGATATGGGTCAGGTAAGGAGGGACGTATGAGTGGAAGAAAACATCCAGTGTAAAATCAGTGTCCTACAGGAACAGTTGGCATCTACACCTTAAAACATGTGCTACAATAGATAGGGCATCTCTGGCTGTGCTCTGTGCACTATGATGTTGATGCCTAATTAGTAATCAGTTGAGTTGAGTCAAGAATTGACATCATAGCATTCAGGGCATTCCCATGAGTACTCAGTCCTCATCTTCAGCAGCCAGCGCAGAGTTCCAATACTGATGGTAGCTATCACAATCTGGTTATGTCCGTCTTGCCTTTCCTCTGAGTGTAGTCAGCCAGCCAGACCCTCTGGTTACACCCAGGTGCCTCTTTCTCTCCAGGCCATAATAATCTTGTTTCTCTACTGATTCTGCTGCTAGTTCCAAACGAGCCGTGACCACATCTCCCTTGTCATGTATCTTTTCGCTACCAAGTGGGGCAGATGAAGCCAATCTGTCTGCCTGTTTAATTAGTAATCAGTTGGGTGTCAGTGTTAACTAGATTATAGCTAACTGTTGAGTGTCAATGTCCATTTGATTTTAGCGTATTGTGTGTTACCTTGATTATAGTTTATTGTTCAGTGTCTGTATTAATTTGATAATAGCTTATTGTTGGGCATCAGTGTTATTTTGATAGTAGCTTTTTGTTGGGTGTCCGTAGTAACTTGCTTTAACTTATTGTCGATTGTCAGTATTAACTTGACTAGTTTATTGTTGGGTGTCAGTGTGTTGTGAAATAGGTTGTGGCATCACAACCCTGTATATACTATACTATATATATATACTAGTGACATTAGTCTTGTTTAATGTGGACAAACACAGGATGATGATGAAGTGGTGATGTAAGATGAACGAGTAGTCTCTCGATTGCTTGTTCAACTAATGGATCACTTGATCAATAACTACTGGTAGAAAGTCTGAACAGTTTCCAGTCAACCACTTGGAGACCGTAACCCACAAGATCCACAACTGAAACACAAGTAGAATTCAAGTATGTTCTGCTAGCACACTACACGGGAATAAGTCCAAACAGTTCTCCCAGTCTCCACAGCTGGACAGAATACAATACACCCTTGCACACTATGTCCTCATGGTTGTTACAGGCACCTC